GAGGGAAATTTTCGTCGAGTGGTTCAATGAAGTGTTTGGCCCTAGTTTTGAAGGAGAAATCTCCTGGAAAAGAAATAGATCTCAATGCCTGCTAGTAATGGACAATGCCCTGCTCATTCCTCCAAACTTGGATGACTTAATTTTCGAGGAGTTTGGGTTCATCACAGTAAAGTTCTTGCCCCAAATACCACTCCTCTCCCCCAAACCCATGGACCAGCAGGTTATTGCAAACCTTAAAAAACTCTACACAAAAGAAAAGTTTCACAGGTGCTTGACTGTGACCACAGACACTCACTTGACCCTAAGGGAATTTTGAAGAAACACTTCAGCATCCTCCACTGCATAAACCTTATAGGTATGGCTTGGTAGGGAGTGACTACCAGGTCTTTGACTCTGCCTGGAGAAAACTGTGGCCAGATTGTGTCGACAAGAGGGGTTTTGAAGAATTTGGGACTGACCTAATGAGCCTATGTCTGTTGTAAAATCAATTGTGGCACTGGGGATTTTCCCTGGGGTTGGATGTGAGTTTGGAGGATGTGGAAGAATTGGTGGAAGGACCACATGAAGAGCTCACCACTGAGGAGCGCAAGAGCTTCAGCAGAAGAGCAACACATCGCAGCTCAGAATCTTGCTGCAGAGGAGGAGGAAGAGAGATGGAAGAAGGTGCCTTCTTCAGAAATTAAAGAGATTTTTTACTATTGGGGGTAAGATGGAAAGCTTATGGAGAAACATCACCCTAAAAAGGTTGTTGCAAGCCAGGTGCAACATGTACATACAAAGTCTTGGGCCATTTTAGGAAGTGTTAAAGAGACGCCAGAAACAGAGCTCTCTCCACAGTTATTTGTGAGACAGGACTCCAGTGACTCTCAAGGTGGGCCTAGTGGGATTAAGAAACAGAGAAGAGAAGCAACCCCAGAAAAGCAAATGGTACCTGAGGTGTTGATGAAAGGGGATTCCCCTTCCAAACTATAAACAATCCATTCTCTCTCCTCCTCCAGTCTCCCATACACTAAGAAGAATCTCCAATAAAGGTAAGTATTATGCTGTTAATGTTTCATTCATCATTTCCCATTGTATTGTTTATGTACTACATGCATATTTCACGTTAAAAATTTCTTTGTTTTAATACTTCTGGGTGTCAGGAACGGATTAATTGTATTTACATTATTTCTTATGGGGAAAATTGATTCGTAAATCGTAAATTTCGTTTATAGTAACGGCTCCAGGAACGGATTAATTACGAACAACGAGGGACCACTGTATATCATATTTTACAGTATGTAAAAATCACCTTGCATCCTATATGATGAAGGTCAAGCCTGGGATCAAAGTATCCCTTCAGTTAAACAATCCAAACAATTTTGAAATAAATATACAAGGTGAATTATATGAACACTTCCAGTATGTCTTATATGCTGCAAAATACGTAAGCCGATTTACAAACCGGGTGACATCACCACAAACCAAAATAACATCAGACCAGAATCTGGATCCCTCAGACTTTATTATTATTGCAATATTAAAAAATAAGCACTAAACTTATATGGGTCATACAGCACTCAGACTTGAACCTGTATGATAAAGTAACAAGGAATAATTTGCTTACCCCCTTTCCTTTACCCTTCCTTCCTGATTACCAAAACTGCAATGTTGGTACCTTGCTTTTTGGACTGATACATTCCAGTAGAGCACTTTGTTCTATTACTTTTTCTAAAATACTGTTTTAAATTGTCATATTTTACTTTTATACTTATAGATATTTTTCTTTTTTTATGCTCTATACAACATATTATCCCAAACAGAACAAAGCCACACTCACTCATGTACGTATGGATGTGCGTCCGTGCGTTTGTGCATGTGTGTTTGTACACGTACTCACCTACTTGTGGTTGCAGGGGCCGAGTCTCAACTCCTGGCCATGCTTCTCAATTTGCGAGATTCACTCCCTCCTAGCCTCATGGGTCCTATTGTAGTACATGCTCTCAAAATTATGTTTCTGTATTCCACTAAATAGCTTGTTAAGTTTAGTTAGCTCATACAAACAATTGTAATTAAAAGGACAGCAAATTAAACATACAATTCCAGAGTATTTCTAAAAAAAAAGTCAAAAAACAGCGGACATTCTGTCAAAAATACACAATTTGTTCTCCAACATCCCTGCTCACTTTGCACTACTCTCTCACCTATCCATACCTCACTTATGGTATCTGTGCCACCTGGGAATCAACAACAGCTAATAACCTTAACCCTTTCAGGGTCCGTCCCGTAGATCTACGGCTTTACGTTCAGGGTCCAAACCGTAGATCTACGTCACGAGCTCAGCTCACTCTGATAAACTGTGAGTGGTACATTTGGGCCTAGATATGAGAGAATACATCTATGTGGTATGTGTGCACCACATAAAACAGATCCTGCAGCACACTGTGTATAATGAGAGAAAAAACTGAAATCATGATTTTTCGATTAAAACAGCGACTTTGCAGTGTTTTTTCATACGTTTTTATAGTTGTATTTGCGATTTCTTGGTCTCATTTGATAGAATCGAAGACATATTACAGAAATAGAGATGATTTTGATTGGTTTTAGCACTGGAAATGGCTTGAAACTGAGCTCAAAGTAGCAGAAATGTTAAATTTTTGCCGATATTCAAAAGTAAACAAACGACCTCACACGTCTAATACACGCCAGCTGGTGGGTCTAATATGCATTCACAAATATGGTGATGATATTTATACAATTATTACAATATTGCATAACAGTAAATCTTCTATTTTTTGGTGTGAATAAAAATTCATTATGTGAATAAAAAATAAAAATGGAATTTATTTGTAAAGCCTCAAAACGTAACTAATGAAAAGAGGAAATGTTAGTTTAGTGCCAGGAATACCTACATTGCTTATTCTGGACCCTATTTTGAAATTGGAATATTTTGAACTTTGTGTTAAATTGGCTAAATTAACAATTTCCGATCACTTTAATTTGTAGTTGAAACAGTTGACTTGGCGATTTCTTGTGCTCAATCGATAGAATAGAAGTAATACTAGTGAAATAGCTAAGAATTTGGTTGACTGGAATAATGTAATTGGCCTAAAATGGGAGTCAAAGTCAGCAAAATTGCCGATTCATAAATATCGCTGACACATCAAAATTTGCGAGAGCATAATTTCGTCAATTTTCCATCAAATTTCATACTTTTTGTTTTATTACCTTGACAAAAAGATTCTCTACCATTTCATAAGAAAAAATAACAATTTTTTTTTTTTTAAAATTCTTGGATACTGGGGCACCACTTCAGATTTGGGCCTTGGACCCTGAAGGGGTTAAACCTGTTGCTACTCAGCTAAAATTAGTTCTCAGAATAATCCCTAATTAAGACTCCATGCAACACATTCCCTTTATTCAAATGTTTTAACTTGATTAACATACAGAATATTCAGTTTCTACTGTGTATGCATGCTATGTCTTCAGAACTCTCACACAACACATGGACACCATACAAGGAAAAAGTATCTCTTTGACATTCCATGTATCTGTCTCAACCTGTTCAATAACTCCATGTAAATAAAAACCAAAAATTTGGAACTCACTGCCTGAAAATGTCAAAACCTCCCCATCTGCCAACATCTTTACAATGAATTACTCAGGCTATATTGATAATTAATGTCTTGAATAATATGCTAGGTCTAGATTTATGATTAGATTTGTCTGAAATGCACTGCATAATTATTGGTGTATTCTTCTAAGTCTACATTTGTATTAAATTATTGTTGTATTAGAAATGCAGTCACTTGAAATGTATACCTACTGTACAGTAACTTCTCTGAATGGCTCATAAAAAATAAAAAAAAAAATAATTCTGAATTTATCTTGTGTGATTCTTTATCCATTAAGTTTTCATGAATACGAGAAGCAAGTAAAATTAACAGCTAATGTGGTAAAACTATTACAAGTCTTTCTAAAGAGTGAAGTGCAACTTATGAGATGTTAATGATACAATACTTAGCAATTGATAATGCTCAAATAGTTGTATTCCATACAGTAAAAGTTGGCAAAATTACAAAATATTTTCTATGAAAATACAACAAACCCTTTTTATGCCACTGTTTCTTACACTTCAGAACAAGCCAGTGTATCTTATCAGTTACTTACTTTACAACAGATCATTTTTAACTGAAACAGTAATCCCCATTCACACTAATCTTAAACAAAATCAAATTTAAGAGTGCAATATAACACAAGCTTCTAAGGTCAAGAGGTTGAATCCCAAAGAGCAGATCTTCAACTTAACTCAGCACTTCCAAGGTTAAGAGGTTGAATCCCCAAGGTTAAGAGGTTGAATCCCAAAGAGCAGATCTTCAACTTAACTCAGCACTTCCTGGGTCAAGAGGTTAAAGCCCCAAAGAGTTGGTCTTCAACTCAATGCAGCACTTCATGGTAAAATTAATGAAAGGAACTACTTAACTTTTTTTTCACAAAATGAGTAACTGTTTTAAATATCCACATATTGCAAGCAAGATAGCTACTGAATGAGTAACGATGAATGTGTTTCCTTCTTTGTGTACCCCTGCCTTAGTGGGAAATGGCCGATATACTTAAAACAAAAAGAACCACTGAAACATTCACCACAACTATTAGTGAAAGCTTCTTACCCAGTACAAACAAGAAAACTTTCTTCATAATCTTGCAAGTACATACTGATTCATCACTTTTCAGCTAAGTATTTTGTATCCACCTAAAGTTGGAAAAAACATGTGCTACTAATGCATATAAAAGTAACAAAAAAAAAAGAAAGAAAATAACTTGTAAACAAGCATTACTTTTCTCCAGCAATTTCAATTAACAAACATTCTACAGAATATGATAAACAGCAAGCTATTGTTGTAAAACTTAACTTGGTATTTTAAGCAGACTAAATCCTTTCATTTATATGCCATTAGACAATACAGAAAAGTAATGCTTCAACAAGCTATAGCAGAATGAGCAAAAATATTAACACTCACTCTAGAGGAGTCGTGTAGCTGCGAAGATTCAGTCATTTCAGTATGGAGGGGGAGCTGCATTGTTAGAGCATCACCAGTGGTGGGTACAACCCCAGGACCACTTCCTGACCCACCTATACCTCCCCCTCCATCTTCATAACTTTGATTACTTCCCTCCCAAGTTTCTGTGGCAACACCTGCACTTGATGGCTCTAGTTTTATAGTCTGAAAAAGCAAAAGGGAGATTAATACACTTATTTATTCCAGTTTTAATGTTTGAAAAGTACACAAATCAAAATATCACATCAATTGATATTTAGTAAAGGTCTTAATGGGGAAATATACTCTCCTTTCCTATTCTGGCAAAAGGCAAAAATTATTAGACAGAACAGTCCTGTAAAATATTTATCATGTGCTCTGTAATCTTTTAACCATAACCCACAGGATGAGTCTGAGATGACTACTGCTCACAAGATGAGTAAGGTGACTATTGACCACATGATGTGTATGAAGTGCCTACCACTCACATGATAGGTGTGACTACTGCCCACATGATGGGCATGGGGTTCATGATAAACCTTAAAAATATTATTTTATTACCAGTATGCTAATTAATCTGTCTTGGTGATGGCACTAAAGACTTCATAATACAAAGTGGTAGGTAAGACACATAGGCAACAGTTAGGCAACTTTATTCTGAAACGTTTCGCCTACACAGTAGGCTTCTTCAGTCGAATACAGAAAGTAGGCAGGAACAGTAGAGATGTGAAGACGACGTAATCAGTCCATCACCCTTGAAGTCGTAGAATTTGATAGTTCCTGACTATGGAACTGAACTTCTCCAGGCTGAGGGACTGACCACCTCAAATTCTACGACTTCAAGGGTGATGGACTGATTACATCGTCTTCACATCTCTACTGTTCCTGCCTACTTTCTGTATTCGACTGAAGAAGCCTACTGTGTAGGCGAAACGTTTCGGAATAAAGTTGCCTAACTGTTGCCTATGTGTCTTACCTACCAACTTGTCGGTATTGTATACCATTTTGATGTTCATAATACAAAGTGTTGCCAGCATTTAATTATAAATGTTTGGGGCTTTAAAATGGCAACTGTGATGTCTCTTGATAATTATTTCACAACCTGTGAGTGGAAAACCTTTTCATAAATAGATAATTCAAATATTCACTCTCATACTAAAAATAATCGATTTGTTTCCTGGCTGAGTAGAAACACCCTCCCTGGCAGCAATGGGTCAGCTGAATACAATGCTTTTCTCCTGGAAAAAACTCATTCGGTACTCAAACAGATCAGCACTCAAACCACAGCCTTTTCAAATATGTGTTTGTGGAACTGCAGAAAGATAGGAAGACTTAATTATTCTGCAGAAATTAGACCCTTTTTCATTTAGATACAAGTTAAAATTCATCATCAAGGGCTCTGTTAATGTGAATCCTTTGTGTACAAGACGAAGAAACACATTCATCATCACTCTCACTCTAGCTGCATCTCCAGAAGGGAACAGTCATTGCATTTCATTGTCAACTTATCAAACTTGTGAAATAAAAGGTTCCAAAATTTTAAATAGCATAGAAAGAGAAACTAAAAGCTGCATAATATTAATTAGCATTATAATTATTATATTCATGGGAAGTGTTAAACCTGTAGGGGTCATATACATCCAATGTGATGCGAAAAGATTATATTTACAAATGTTAAACCCAAGTGGAAACTACTGAAGAAGGCCAAAAACTTAAGGAAACGTGAAGCCTAAGACAGCTTCACTATCAGGAAAGAGTCATGAAAAGAAGACAGAATCATAACAAATACTGTACCAATAAAACAGCCAAATGAGAACAAAACTGAGCAAAAGAAACCACAGTACAGCCAGGGATTGAATTCAGAATTGTGTTGTTATGATTTCTTGAGACATGAGCAAGAGATCAAAATACTTTTTTCTAATAATAGGATTGATTAATATAAAAGTCAGTCCACCAAAGAGAGAATAGAAAGCAATATACAAAAATGGATTGAAAACAACAGGACACTCACAAAGTAAAAAGCAAACTTATAAGGACTGTGTATACCAACAAAGAGTCTTTAAACTATAAACATCAAACCTAAGAAACATTGTAAGTAAAAAATACTGGAGATACAAACTGAAATTTACAAAGATATGAATAAAACATTAAAAGATTCAAGAGAGAAATAGCTAATTCAGAAGGCATTGGATATCAAAGGTCTAACAGACACTAAATTAAATGAATATACAGTATACCAAAACAAAGCAGCATTTAAAAAAATTATTCTGTATGGAGACGAGATATATCATAGTTGGTAAAAGGATGCTAGCAAAGAAATATATACTGGTAAAAATAATTTCTGCAAGCCACTGAAATTTAAACATAGAACAAGTAAAATTATTATCTATGCATACTACAATTAGCAACCATGTTTAAGAATTAACATATTTTTTAATAACATACACATCACCTAAAATGACAATCTGAAAAATAACTGAATTATGAACAATATAACTGAATTATGAACAATAGTCTCATAATATGTATCTAAACCGAAAATGCAATACGTACCTATAACATAGAGGTAAAATACTGTAACATATTTTATTTTATTAACACATTAGCCATTTCCCACCAAGGAAGGGTGACCCAAAAAAGAAAAACTTTCACCATCATTCACTCAATCACTGTCTTGCCAGAGGCACACTTATGCTACAGTTATAAAACTGCAACATTAACACCCCTCCTTCAGAGTGCAGGCACTGTACTTCCCATCTCTAGGACTGCCAGTTTCCCTGAATCCCTTCATAAACATTACCCTGCTCACACTCCAACAGCACGTCAAGTCCTAAAAACTATTTGTCTACATTCGATCCTATCTAACATGCTCATGCATGCCTGCTGGAAGTTCAAGCCCTCATATACAAAACCTCCTTTACCCCCTCCCTCCAACCTTTCCTAGGCTGACCTCTACCCCGCCTACCCTCCACTACAGATTTATACACTCTCAAAGTCATTCTATTTTGTTCCATCCTCTCTACATGTCCAAACCACCTCAACAACCCCTCCTCAGCCCTCTGGATAATAGTTTTGGTAATCCTGCACCTCCTCCTAATTTTCAAACTACGAATTATCTGCATTATATTCACACCACACATTGCCCTCAGACACATCTCCACTGCCTCCAGCCTTCTCCTTGTTGCAACATTTACCACCCATGCTTCACACCCACATAAGTGTTGGTATAACTATACTCTTATATATTCCCCTCTTTGATTCCATGGACAAAGTTCTTTGTCTCCACAGACTCCTCAGTGCACCACTCGCCTTTTTCCCCTCATCAATTCTATGATTCACCTCATCTTTCACAGACCCATCTGCTGACACGCCCACTACTAAATATCTGAATACATGCACCTCCTCCATACTCTCTCCCTCCAACCTGATATCCAATCTTTCGTTACCTAATTTTTTTGTTACCCTCATCACCTTACTGTTTTCTACATTCACTTTCAATTTTCTTCTTTTACATACCCTACCAAAGTCATCCACCAAACTCTGCAACTTCTCTTCAGAATCTCCCAAAAGTAGTGTCATCAGCAAAGAGCAACTGTGAGAACTCCCTCTTTGTGTTAGATTCTTTATCTTTTAACCTCAAACCTCTTCCAACACCCAAGGACTCACTTTTGTTACAACCCAATCTGTAAATATATTGAACAACCATGGTGACATCACACAGTCTTGTCTAAGGCCTACTTTTACTTGGAAATTATCTCCCTCTCTCCTACATGCTCTAACCTGAGCCTAGCTATCCTCGTATAAGCTTTTCACTGCTTTCAATAACCTACCTATTCCATACATTTACAACATCTGCCACATTGCCCCCCTATCCACCCTGTCATACTCCTTTTCCAAATCCATAAATGCCACAAAAACCTCTTTACCCTGTTCACCTATATGTTTCACTGTAAACACTTGGTCTACACACCCTCTACCCTTCCTAAAGCCTCCTTGTTCTTCTGCTATCTGCTCTCCATTTTACTCTTAATTCTTTCAATAACAACTCTACCATATACTTTACCAGATATATTTAACAGACTTATTCCCCTATAATTTTTGCACTCTCTTTTTTTCCCTTTGCCTTCATACAAAGGAACTATGCATGCTCTCTGCCAATCCCTAGGTACCTTACCCTCTTCTATTCATTTATTAAATAAAAGAGGTACATTAATACACAAAATTTTATTAAAAGCTACATGAAGGCTTTAAATATAAGTCATAAGTCAAATGCAAACACCTTTAAATAGACAACAGAGAAGTGACAATAATCTCCTAGAATTGCAATGAAAACTGAGTGAAGCAAAGCTGGTCTGAATCATACAACTGAAATACTGTAATTCAAGTGTGACTATGAAGCAACTTCACCCCACAAATGCAGCACATCATATGACTCCAAGATGCATTTCAAAACTCACACTGAGGAGCAGTTGAAAATTTAAAAAATGCCAATAAGCTTGAATACCACAATGCATCATTTCATGGACAGTAACTCATAGTAGGTACTCCAAAAATTGTGTTAAATTTCTGATAAGTCCATTTAGAGAAAATGCTATGGTGCACCATTCAATACTTGGTGTTCACCTGGGGTATTGAGAGTGTGCAAGTGTCGTCACATTTTGTTGACATCACCATACTGCTGGTGAGCTCGTGCCGACTTGTACATGATGATCCAGTTCTTCTCCCAAGCATATCCTAAAAAATAATAATACCTGATACTTCTTGTGTCATAGTATGTCACAGTACACAAGATGAGTTATAGGATTTAACATCTTCACTAAATTCCAACAAAAAAGCTGTGGAATTTATAACCAGAGTGTAGGACTCATGAAGTACCAATCAAGTCAGTAATTCTAAAAAAATAATGTCTGATATGCGTGTTGTGGGACTTCACAGTGGTCAAGATAAATCATCTTTCCATCACTGTATTAGACATCCCAAAATATTTAAAACACAGTAAAGTTCTCTGGCAGTGATTTGAAGGAAAAGCTAAAATTGTATGTACATGTTGCATGTGTATTACGCATCATAAAAAAAATATGTTGATCACCACAAGCTTGAGCAAGGTATCCTCAGACCCCCAATTCCTGCCACCCCCTATCCCAGCAGAAACAATGGTAGGAATTACTCTTACTGCAAAGAATTATCTCCCCACCTCTCCCTCCATCTTCCTCTTTCTTTCACTCTGTCATTCAGACTCCTCCACCAATGCCCCACTCCCAAATATTTAGATATCTGATTTTTTTTTTAACAAACCGGCCATATCCCACCAAGGCAGGGTGACCCAAAAATTTAGTAATTTTTACAGGAGAAGGGGTTATTAGCCCTTTGCTCTGAGCATTTTAGTTGCCTTTTACATTATTATTATAATCAAAAAGAAGCGCTAAGCCACAAGGGCTATACAGCGCTGCTTGCCTTTTATAGCATGCATGACTTATGGAGGAAATCTTTTCCATTTCCTCATGGAAGGAGGGGTGGGGATATCTGCAGTTTGGAGGAGCATCTGAACAGTGATAGAGTGAATGATGGTAAAAGTGTTTCTTCTTTTTCAGGTCACCCTACCTCAATGGGAGACGGCCAATGTGTTAAAAAATCATAATTGTATTCTTACCTTCCTATTATTCTTATTTTAACTGCTACTAAATAATAATTTGCATATGAGTTACTCAAAAAAAAAAAAAAAAAAAAGTACACCCAGAGGTCTATACCCTTCACCTTTTATCCACTAAGACACAGTCTAGCAAACTGTCCTCTCTTCACACTTCATCATATTTCACATACAGTGGACCCCCGATTAACGATATTTTTTCATTCCAGAAGTATGTTCAGGTGCCAGTACTGACCGAATTTGTTCCCATAAGGAATATTGTGAAGTAGATTAGTCCATTTCAGACCCCCAAACATACACGTACAAATGCACTTATATAAATACACTTACATAATTGGTCACATTAGGAGGTGATCGTTAAGCGGGGGTCCACTGTATTTATCTTCCTCTTCTTAAAATATAATACATATAGCAAACCTTCCATTTAATGAACCTCCATTTAACAGGCTCTGCAAATATGGAATAAACACTGGGTCAACGGATTGGAAACAATGGACGGAGTCCTCTGGTTACAGAATTGTTCATTACTATTACAATCATGGCAAAACATCTATCCAACACAAGTGCCATTATTGGCTACCTGCTCCCTCCAGTTAGTCTGTTATATTGAGGGTTTACTGTATTTATTGTCAATTACCAAATACATTTTTAAACAATTTAAAAAAAGAACCCCAGCTGTCATTTACTTCTAGGACTCAAAATTTCCTATTATACCTTTTTTAAAATCTCTCATCCAAGCCTATTATTAAAACAGTCAAGCCAGCACAAAATGGACTTCACTTGTGGTCAGAGAAAATTTGTGGTACTATATGAACTATAAAAGAAAGCCACAAACAAGCACAAGCCATATAGATTGGAAGAGCTAGATTATTATTATTATTATTATAATCAAAAAGAAGCGCTAAGCCACAAGGGCTATACAGCTGGAAGAGCTAGAGAGGTTCTTCATGAATTAATGGTCAAATATCCTTCCTGAGAGATTTATGAAACTCCTGCATATAAAAGAATGTCGTTCCTCCAGATTACCAAAGCCAAGAAGGCTTCACACAGTACTGATTACAAAGATATAAGTACATACAGTATTGTGTGTTTTCACATACGTATATGTGTAAGAGGATACTGAAAGCACTGTACATTTTCAATTTCTGGCTGAATCAACTGGTATTTATAAGCAATCAGGGAAATAAATATAAGTGAAGGCTACTGTATTTTTTTTTAACAGTGACCATCTCCCACCAAGGTAGGGTGACCTGAAAGAGAAAAAACACTTTCACCATCACTCACTCCATAACTGTCTTGCCAGAGGCATGCCAATAACACAGTTCAGAAGCCCCCTCCAAACTGCAAATATCCCCACACTTCCTTCAGAATGCACGCACTGTACTTTCCATCTCCAGGACTCCAGTCCAGCTAACCGGGTTCCCTGAACCCCTTCATAAAGACATAAGAAGGAAGGAGCACTGCAGGAGGCCTACTGGCCCATGCTGGGAAGGCCCAAGTTACCTAACAACCTGGAACATTCTGTTTGTGTGTACTTAACTATGCACGGGTCTGTGTCAGTACTTGTTCCATTATTATTAATGGTACACAATATAGACAAATACATGACTGGGTGTGGGTGGGCGCAACCTGGACCCTGACTGACTTGGACCAGTAGGTGACTTTGACTTGCTTAGCACGGGCCAGCAGGCCCGTGGAAGCGCTCCCTTGTTCTTATGTTCTTGTGTACAGTAGCGCCAGGTTGATGAGCAAGACAAATGTGGAAACACCTGGGTACCCAGATGTAACACACGTGTCTCACTCATTTGGTTTTGCGGGGGAGGGAAGGGGTAGTGATCTCTAGCTCTTGGGCTCACCTCTGGTTTCGACGGAGTGACGTGACAGGGCTTACATTCTGTTAATTTACTGTTTTAATGGGATGCAATGTTGATTAAGTTCATGAATAAGACGGTGTGTGTGTGTGTGTGTGTGTGTGTGTGTACTCACCTATTTGTGGTTGCAGGGGTCAAGTCACAGCTCCTGGCCCCGCCTCTTCGCTGATTGCTACTAGGTCCTCTCTCTCCCTGCCCCATGAGCTCTATCATACCTCGCCTTAAAACTATGTATGGTTCCCGCCTCCACTACGTCACTTTCTAGGCTATTCCACGGCCTGACTACTCTATGACTGAAGAAATACTTCCTAACATCCCTTTGATTCATCTGAGTCTTCAACTTCCAATTGTGACCTCTTGTGTCTGTGTCCCTTCTCTGGAACATCCCGTCTTTGTCCACCTTGTCTATTCCGCGCAGTATTTTATATGTCGTTATCATGTCTCCCCTGACCCTCCTGTCCTCCAGTGTCGTCAGGCCGATTTCCATCAACCTTTCTTCGTAGGACAATCCCCGTAGCTCTGGGACTAGTCTTGTTGCAAACCTTTGCACTTTCTCTAATTTCTTGACGTGCTTGACTAGGTGTGGATTCCAAACTGGTGCTGCAGCCTCCAGTATGGGCCTGACGTAAATGGTATACAGAGTCTTAAACGAATCCTTACTAAGGTATCGGAACGCTATCCGTAGGTTTGCCAGGCGCCCGTATGCTGCAGCAGTTATCTGATTGATGTGATGTGTGTGTGTGTACGCGCGTTTTGTGCGAGTCAGCGCTGGAGCAGGGCCACTGTCTCCCTGGAGGAAGGGGTGGTTTGGGTAGGAGTGACGGGATGGGTTGTTGGGGAGGGAGGGTTGTTAGGATAGGGAGCAGTGTGACGAGGCCGGGGGGTTGTTGGGGCAGTCAGGGAGGGAGGGGCCACGTAGGGCAGGCGGAAAATTCCACAGCGGTGACCTAATCATGCGGAGGCGGGAGGAGAGCAGAAATGTTGTCTTCGGCCATCTTCTGATATCTCCTGAGGTCTGCTGCCGCCTTTTGCTATCTCTTGCTGTCTTCTCGGTATCTCTTACTGTCTGCTGTAGTCTCTTGTTGTCTGCTGCCGTCTTCTGTTACCCTGTTCACACTCTAACAGCACGTCAAGTCGTAAAAACCACTTGCCTCCACTCACTGCTATCTAACATGCTCACACACGCCTCACATGTACTGTATGTTTTTTTCTTTTTGTTTGTTTTTTTTCAACAAGTCGGCCATCTTCCACTGAGGCAGGGTGACCAAAAAAGAAAGAAAATCCCCCCCGAAAAATACTTTCATCATCATTCAACACTTTCACCTCACTCATACATAATCATTGTTTTTGCAGAGGTGCTTAGAATACAACAGCTTAGAAGCATATATAAAGATATATAACATATCCCTCCAAACTGCCAATATCCCAAACCCCTCCTTTAAAGTGCAGGCAATGTACTTCCCATTTCCAGTACTCAAGTCCAGCTATATAAAAATATCCGGCTTCCCTGAATCCCTTCACTAAATATTACCCTGCTCACACTCCAACAGCTCGTCAGGTCCCAAAAACTATTCGTCTCCATTCACTTCTATCTAACACGCTCACGCTGGAAGTCCAAGCCCCTCGCCCACAAAACCTCTTTTACCCCATCCCTCCAACCTTTTCAAGGACGACTCCTACCCCGCCTTCCTTTCCCTACAGATTTATATGCTCTCCATGTCATTCTACTTTGATCCATTTTCTCTAAATGACCAAACCACCTCAACAACCCTTCTTCAGCCCTCTGACTAATACTTTTAATAACTCCACACCTTCTCCTAATTTCCACACTCCGAATTTTCTGCATAATATTTACACCACACATTGCCCTAAGACAGGACATCTCCACTGCCTCCAACCGCCTCCTCGCTGCAGCATTTACAACCCAACCACGTATGTATGTATGTATGTATGTATGTATGTATGTATGTATGTATGTATGTATGTATGTATGTATGTATGTATGTATGTATGTATGTACGTACGTATGTATGTATGTATGTATGTATGTACGTATGTGATATAAATACACCTTAAGGAAAATTATAAAAGTAGTAGTAGTAGTAACAATAATAATAATAATAATAATAATAATAATAATAATAATAATAATTATTATTATTTTTTTTTTGTTAAGAAGGGCTAAACCCATATGGGTTATACAGCATGGATATAAAGCTATAACTCACCATGGAAGTTTCCGCATGTGACTGCGTTTGTACACCTGAAGGTCCCGGCAGTGTTCCCTCATCACTACTGTGGTATTGATCAGTTTGTGGATATACTTCACGGGGCAATTGCTCCCCTCGACTGGATGAGCTAACTTGAGCGGTGCCCGCATAGATGGCTGTCCCTGAGACCGAATATAAAACACCCTCGGAGGCTGCAATGGGACCGTGGTGACTAGCATAAGGCTGGGGTGTGTGGGATGTAACGTCCGGCTGATGTGGAGGTTCATGTGACGAAACTAACACTACCTGGGGGGCTGGGTGATCACGAATACTTAAGTTTTCACCACGTAGACTAAGGTTTTCACCACGGAGGCTTAAATTTTCACCATTACCAGTTTCAACAGTCACAACCTCCTCTTGGTTTTCTCTTACACCAACATAACTACTCTGTACATTAAATTGTTCAGATTTTTTCCGTTTGGCAACAGGACTAGATTGAGGGTATTTTGACACCTGAAGATGTTGAGGTACCCCAACAGGAGTTGCTGGGGTGGACTGTGGGGGTAACGGTGGAGGCTGAGGTCTGGGAGGCGATGCTATTCTTTTCACGTTCTTTTCTGTCGGTCTGTCAGGCTCGGCAAGACCTTTGATTTTTAAATTTTCGGCTGTGCTTATCAGAGACGCTAACTCAGATTGTGATACGCTAACCTGAAATATGGGACAAATAATTTAGTTTTTTCAGCAACATCCAATAATTTCGACCAAAAATTCTCAACCTTAATGGTCTGCCCAAAATGCAAAGCATTTATGAACAAAGAGATGTAATCCCAGAGTTGGTGGAACACCCTCTATTTCTTAGAAATAAAAATTTTACCTTGACTAACTATACTATATAATGCCCAGTAGTTTTAAGTTTTAGTCAACCTAAAATACTCTAAACAATCGGGGAATTTTCAAAATGTATGAAATAAATATCTAGTGGTTTTGTAACAATTAGGCACATTTCAAAAACAAAAAATTTGATTGTAATCAATTCTGGTGGTGGTGGTGTCTTGCTTTGCCAAGATTTTTGATGTCAAGGCTAGGACACTAGGAAGTAGAACTCAATACAGTTTGTATTATGATGACCCATTACAAGAACAGCCAACAATCAGAAGTTTGCTCAATAGATATTTTTGGTACTGCATGCCAGGCATGGCATAGTATCCACTCTGTTTTAAGACAAAAGAACAATATTGTATAGCTATCATAACCACTAATACCTGAAGAAAAGACCTCACCTCTCCTTTATATATAAACTCTATAAGAGCTTCCAATTCCTGCCCCTTGACATCCTTTAGGAAGACAATCGGATGCTTACAAGGATTAGTCTGAAAGAGTGTCTGAAAAAAAAAATATTCTTAAAAAAAGGAACAATGGAATACTGAATATTTTAATATTAATATTGCTGATAATCCCTTTAAAAAGATTATATTTGCATACAGTTTTACGATTCTTTAATCTAAAGTTCCGAGCTCTATATTCAGCTGCTGACCATCTCATGATAAAAGGCTCTTGCAATGATACCAATACTCAAGTTATTTTAGAAGTACAGGTGTACTTATGAATGCATTTCCATTAACCCGTAAGCGGTCCAAACGTATATATACGTTTTTACCGCTAGTGCCCCAAACGTATATATACATTTTATGTGTCCTACATTTAACATTGCCACGATAAGCCTGAGTCGCCTAGACATGTGAGAATGGGTGTGAGCACTCACTGTGCACCATATTAAAATAATTGGGGATGCCTGGGTACCATATGCTCTTTTTTCCTATTAAAAAACAACAATGTTTTTTTTCTCAAAAAAGTTGGGGCAGTACGGTAGTGAACGTATATATACATTTGGACTGTTTACGGGTTAATATTATACTTCAATAATATGACAATACTTCATGCATAATGACTTGGTTAACGTGGGGTGCTCATGTTTTTACTCAACTGGACACCCTTATTTCCTCTGGCTAACCACTTTCATCTACAACAAGCTTTAACAATAAATCTATTAACCCAGTTTCATAAGGATTTTTTTTTAACACACTGGCTGTCTACCACCAAGGTAGTGATCCAAGAAAGAGAAAACACATTCACATTTTTTATAAGGATATGGTAAATCAACTGACACAATTAATAACACACCTGGAAATATGGCGAACATGCAGACAAGACAACTCTGTGTGCGGAGAAAGACTTTCCATCACACGCCAGAGTAACATCGACAAAAGCATCCTGATTAAGAGAAAAGTTTACGATAAATTTTCAGTGATACACAGATTACATATCACTGCACATCTAAATTAAATGTAGCTGTCAGTAATAATCAAGATAAACTCACAATATTGTGTTCTAATTCATTTCTGTATCAAATAATAATAGTACAGCTGTATCAGTACATCTGAAGTGGAGGTTACCATTTCATTGATTCTATTGAAAATTTCCTAGATATATTAATGATACAATAAAATTTCATTATGAACAGAGTGATAGATTTGAGAATTTTAAATTTTCTTTCCGAAATGCTCAGACATGCTAGTGGCTTTCTTTGTGCTTAACAGTATTTTATAACATGTAAATTACACATTGTATACTATACAAAGAAATAAAAACTTGAATTTGAAAAAAAACTTAACTTGCACAAACCAATTTTCAATGTCTTTGAGAAATAACATTCACCTATACAGTCAATAGAAACTCAGAATAAGAAATATCACCATTATGGCACTGTATGTTATCCTTCTAATATTTTCATAATGTATCATTTATGTTTTTCATAACTTCTGCACATCTGGCAAGAAGCACAAATAGTACAGCCCAATCCCTATTATATATAGTACATGTATCTGGAAATATGTTTACTATGTATGTATTAGCAACCAAGAAAATATAGACTGCAAAACAACCACTGTGGAAAAATAGTGAAATTCCAAGTGCTTTTGTGATTTCTCACATCACAGGTCCTCGATAATGTGAGAAATCATGAAAGCACTTTAAACCTTAAACTGTCCAAATGTAGATCAACGTTTTTTCAACATTTGAAAGTACGTAAAAAATGTAATCTTTTTTTTTTTTACATTTGAAAACACGTAAAAAAAACTTTGATCTACTTTTTTTTTTTGTTATATTTGAAAATATGTAAAAAAACATAGATCTACTTCTGGAGCACTACACGTGTGAACGTAAATCTGTTTGGACAGTTTAAGGGTTAATTTCACTATTTTATCACAGTGGTTGTTTTGTATACTGTGATATCACCTGTTTACTGTGATCTTATTGCATACAGTAGACTATAAACAATACATCCATAAACTTGCAGAACTGGGAACAAATGTCTCTTATAAGATATCTTTTACATTTAGTGATTATTTTTCCTAAGTGTGCAGTGATGCTATAAATAAAATGAAACCATAATTATATTTTAAAAAAAAAAAGTGCTGAACGTTCTCCTTAAATGGAACCTGGTAAATCTGAAAGATTGTATAAGCTACTTACCTGTGTACGCAAGTAACTGAACACTTCAACAAAGTTATTTTGGTGGTTATTCCACTTAAGAAGAAACTGGTCTTGATTCATCCTGACCTGAAAAGGATTGAAATGGTTATTAAAACAAAAATAAGTTTTACATTATCTAACTTATTATATCGATGACCTATCAAATGTATTTCAGCAGCTTAAACCAGTTTTATGTGTAGATGACACCATTTTCATGAATTCCAACCCAGACCCAGTTGAACTTAACATAGTCATTGTTGAACTAGAAAGGTAATCATATTACAACATGCATATAATTAGTAAAAATGTATAGGTGTCATTTTTTTTGATGACTTAACCTAGGATATCCCTATATTCTTCCAAAGATTATGCCAACATTTATAGTTAGATTAATTTCATAAAATTCATTTTCAGATATGCACATCAGTTATATAATTTTCACTGCAGTAAGTACAATTAATTTCAGTGTGGTCACTATCAACAAGTCACCACAATTACACTCACGGTGGCCTGGTGGCTAAAGCTCCCACTTCACATACGGAGGGCCCGGGTTCGATTCCCGGCGGGTGGAAACATTTCGACACGTTTCCTTACACCTGTTGTCCTGTTCACCTAGCAGCAAATAGGTACCTGGGTGTTAGTCGACTGGTGTGGGTCGCATCCTGGGGGACAAGATTAAGGACCCCAATGGAAATAAGTTAGACAGTCCTCGATGACGCACTGACTTTCTTGGGTTATCCTGGGTGGCTAACCCTCCGGGGTTAAAAATCCGAACGAAATCTTATCTTATCTCTTCTTAAAAAACTGGACAATTCCAAAACATTACATAATACAAAAACAATCACCTCATTTAATTACCATCAAACATTCATTTACCATTATCCTGCACAAAAATTACATGGTATCTCAAAAGGCTACAAAACAAAACTGCTACAATATTATTCTTATATTCACCTTTCCACCCTCCAGGTAATTCACAGGGAAATAAGTTTACTAAAGCCTTATATATAATCTTAACCTTTTATTGTAGTTGTAGGCAGTACATTATGTAAAGGTGAACCTAAGATAACCCAATAAAGCAAACGTGATTTATTTCCACTGGGGAAATGCTTAGTAAGTTTATTTAGGTACAAGTACATGTAAATACAATTATCATATATAATGTAAATTACCTATAACCCAAAAAAGCCAAAGTAACTTATTTTCCTGTGGGGTCCTTAACATGTAAAGCCAATACAGCCTCCGGGAAATGAGAGGCAATCATGTCTGATCCAAGGAAAGGGAAGGGTACTTCCAACTCTTTAGATGAAGAGCCCTTCATTGACATCAAAGTAGCATCCTGGGAGGGCTGAACAGCAATGGAAATGAGTCACTTTGTATGACTTTTTTGGCATTATCCTAGATAATTTACACTATGTATGATAACTATACTCATGTGTACCTGTGCCTAAATAAATTTACTTAGCATTAACACAAAAGGACCCCAGTGGAAATAAGTCACTTTGTCTAACTTTGTTGGGTTATTCTAGGTAATTTACACATATATTACTATGTACGATAATTTGTGTAACTGTATTTATTTGTACCTATACCTAAATAAACGTATTATGACAGCCCTTGCTGATTTACCAAGCTGCCTAGGAGCCACCTCTAGCACACTACCTGAGACAACATTAATGACTATCTTTCTCTACCTCATTCCACTAATGTCGGCACAGTGGTGGAGGAAGTATCATGTTGAGTGATGTGTTAACATGACAGAAGACAAGTTTGGTCCACAGTGTTAAGTGGAAGATGGTTGTTGGTGGAGGATGTGACCAACCTGCCCAGCACCTCACATGTCAACACAACCTCAGGTAAACAACCCCTCACGCTGCTGCTACTCTGATCAATAACTTCTTTAATACTCATTCTCACATATACACAGAAGGTAAAAACATGTGCTATAAAACTTTTATCTATGTGTATTACACTCCAATAGAAATGTTAGTAAGTTTACTGAGGTACATGTACATATAAATAAAGTTACATAAATTAGCATGCATAACAGCATATGTGTAGATTACCTAGGATAACCCCCCCAAAAAAGTCAAAGTGACTTATTTCCATTATGTGTGTATCAAACTCATCCAGTGGTCAGCAGTGAAGCTAATTATTGTTTATTCAGAGTAGGGAAGGTCAGGGTATTCATCTAGATATTTAGATAGTGATAAATAGTCACAGTACTATGGCAGGAATAATTCACAAGACATTTAGGAGGACGTTGTAAATTAAATTTTGAGATTTTTTTAATGTCATGCAAAACTCTTGTAGCAAAGAACCTTTTATTTACAAAACTCCTCACCTACTGTGGATTTTATCAATGAAACAAACTCGCTCTTATTTTCATAAGATACGGTGCATAGTTTACAAGATTAGATGACCTTTGATAGCATCCATGAAAGCCCCTGATTATGCGTTAAACTTTTGAGATATAAAAATACTTTGCTGTAAGTTTTTCTATTAGTATTTGTCGGCTCACAATCATTATACTACATTTGTCAGAAAGTTCTTTCTAAATTCGCTTTTTTCTTTTATATTCAAGTATAAATGACAGAGGGTAGCTACATCATGATGTCGGTATTTGTTTCATGTATTTGTTTCTTAGTTTGTTTCATGTATTTGCTTCCTAGTTTGTTTCCTGTATTTGTTTCCTAGTTTGTTTCATGTATTTGTTTCCTAGTTGAAGCCTGGGGAAAGTGCACTGTTATTATTTCCCTGGAGGAAGTAGTTTAGATTCCTTGGATCAGGAGCTGTTCATGAGCGTTTTATTAACAAACAAGGTTAGCCCAAAGGGGTCATAAAACTGGTGGTATTAATTACTCATAGAAAAGCGATGAACCCATAGTTTATACAGCGCCTGGGAATGGGAGGTAATCAGATTTAATTTAAATTATTATTATAATCAAAAAGAAGCGCTAAGCCACAAGGGCTATACAGCAATTTAAAGATTATTATTACATTCATGGAAGAGTGCTAAACCCGTAGGGGTCATACAGCAACTATGAGAATGAAAGGCATTCAGACTCGATTCATGAAACTGGAGCACAGGTTCAATTCCTTATATCAAGAGCACCTCGCCAGCTTTGATCCAAGGAATGAGTAATTCTAATTCCTTGGATGAAGAGCCTTCGAAGAGAATAGGTTAGATTGCGTTAAAGTGATGACGACGCCAGAGGTAAATTGTAAGATATGGTGAACCGACAATGAAACAACAATTCTCACAGAGCGGCACTGAGCACTTCTCCGTGAGATACCCGTGAGTGAGACGTGTGTGTCCGATACCATGGCAGGAGTGTATAATCTCCCAAACACCACAGCGATGATAAAACCAGAAACCCAAACAAGATTTTACAAATTACAATTTGCTATGGATTAGCTCAAACCACCATTGTTGCCAACAATCAATAAAAAATAAGCGCTAAACCCACACGGGTTATACAATTGTTGCCAACAGTTGCAAAGTTGTCAGAGAGATTACTGAAAAATAATCTGAGAATGGAATAATCCTATACATAATGAGGTCATGAATTGCTGACCTCGCAGCAGTTCGCCTGCTCGTTGCCCCGAACAGCCATATTTTATTATAATATTCATGGGAAGCGATATACCAGCAATCCAAATTTTGATTTTGATGAAACACTAAACCCAGAGAGATCAGCACCTGGGTAATAACAAATAGGAGGCAATTAGGCTTGATCCAAGAATATGAAGAGATCCAATTCCCTGAATCAAAGCCCTTCACTAACATCAAGTCCTTTGAAGGACTTGCAAGATAAATGGGGACAATTTTGAATGGTGACAATTTTGCGATCTCTGATCTATCAAGTTCGGTGAATACATATATTTATATCAAGTTCAGAGAGTTCTCTGTATACTATTGTCCTGTAAATGGGCAGCCAACAGTTGCATTTTGTTCCCTTTCCAAGGGCATTGACTACTACCAACTCGTATAATTTTATTATGCACTCGAAAGTGGACTCAAGACTCGCTGTATATATTATTATTATTATAATCAAAAAGAAGCGCTAAGCCACAAGGGCTATACAGCTCGCTGTATATATTAATAAATGATGGGGCAGTGCTACACCCATAAGGGTCATACATCACCCGGGGCATCGGAGAAAATTAGGTTCGATTCAAGGAACAGGACAAATTTAAATTATTTGGATCAACAGTACATTCTCTGTGAAAAAGTTTAAAGGCTCATTCTGGATCACTAAAACATCTAAGATAGCTATTTTTTCCGCCCAACTTTAAATCTGATGGATAAGGAAATCTGTAAGTTTCCCAAAAAATGCACCTCCCTGGAGGGTATATTGTATTTACGAGAGCCCTAAACCAGAATGGGTCATCGTGCCAACCGGCAGGGCACGTTCATCTCTCGTGGCTTTCGATAGGAACCCAAACGTTGTTAGATCCCTTACGGGTTCATCGCTCCCATAAATGTAATACTCTCCCCTTTGATCCAACCTGATGGCCTCCCATTAGACAAGTGATGTATGACCCTTACAGGTTTAGCACTCTCCATGCGAAAAAAAAAAAATCTCGCAAGGAAGAACAGGGGTTAATTCCGTGGGAGGATTGAGCCGCTAACGTTTCACACACTTCCAGGAAGAGCAAGTTGCGTACTTTTAACTTTTAACCTAAATAAGGAAGGTTTGCGGTACAGGAACTGTTTGGGGAACAGAAAAGGATGGCAAACAATGTTGGCAGGCAGTTTAGTTTGTGAGTGCTAGCAGGCAATATAGGTTATGTCAGTGTTTGTTTTGTCAATGCAGCTTGGCAGGCAGTGTTAATTGTTGGTTGGAAGATGGTATAGTATCAAGTGTCTTGTTGAGTGACAGTATTGCTGGCGGCCAGTTAATTGCTTTGTGACACTATATAGCTTGTTACAAACTGCTCGTTTGCAGACTGATTGTCAATGGATACTGCCGCACAATACTTGTTGGTACATAATGAAGCTTGTCAGCAATAACAACTACGTGTTAGATAATGTAGCTTTAGTTATAAACTGCTTGCTGGCAGACAATTTAGCTTCTTTCACCAATTGCTTCCTGGCAGGTAATATATTATATAAAACTACTTGCCAGAAGTGTAGACTTTTACAAACTGCTGGCAGTGTAGGTTAACACAAACTGATTGCTGGCAATATAACTGTGCCAGAAACTGCTGCTAACAGTAGCTTTTGCAAACTGCTTGCTGGCAGTATTGCTGTGCTAGAAACTAAATGTAGCCTGTTACACAAACTGCTGCTGACTATAGTTAAATTACTGCTAAGTGTATCTTATTTCAGAAACTGCTCGCCGACAGTTTAGCTTCACATACTACTTACTGACAATGCAGCTTGTTACAAATACTGCTTGCTAACAGTGCAGCTAGTTTCAAAATCTGCTCATTTACTTGTTACATAAACTGTTCGTTGACAGTGTAGTTTTCACATACTGACAGTGTAGCTTGTTACACAAACTGCTCAGTGTAGCTTGTTGCACCTACTGCTTAACAGTTTAGCTTGTTACACAAACTGCTCGCTGACAGTTCAGCTTGTTACACACACTGCCAGTATAGCTTGTTTCACATACTGCTTGCTTACAGTGTAGCTTGTTACACAAACTGCTCGCTGGCAGTGCAGCAGATCCCTACACCTGTGTTCACTCTCCACCATCACAAAACACTCCCCAGAACATTCACCAACCTGTTCCATTTGATAATTCCCATCGCAGTTGTATATTTCAGCGAGTGAGGGTTGCATAGCAGCAGTGTGACTAGTGGAGGCTTGGTGGAAGCAGCAGCAGCAGCAGCAGCAGCCGCAGCAAACAAAAAGCTGGCAAGTAAACAAACCTTGCCACCAGGCACAAGCACCGCCACCTTCCCTCTCTCTCACACCGCTCCGCCATCTTCACTACTCACCTCGCGTAGATGGTTATTGTTCCATAATGCAGGATGACATCTTGGGATAAACACAGCCAGTATTCCTGATCATTACTGCTGCCATCTATCAGCATCTAATCAAAACAATCGATTCTCACGTTTTCTTTTATTCGCTAGTAGAAAACGGAAGCTAATACCGTCAACTTTACTAAAATTAACTTCTCATTTAAATGTATAAACTTTTTAAAATGTAAAAAGAAATTGAAGTACAAAATTAAACTACCTGCTATACAAAGCCAGACTGAATTGAACAAAGCAAAAATTTTGCTTGTGTAATTTCAAAACATTTTGTTTGAATTTTCTCCCTAAGAAAACTTGACAAACAATTTACATGTATAATTTGTAAATTATTTGCATTAATTTAAATAAAACAGAAAAAGGCTTTCTGGGGAAAAGGTACAAGTTAAAAACAAATTAATTTTTTTTCTTTATTACAATTTACAATTACTAATGAGCAGCAGCTTTCTTGGGCCGTGCCTTGGTGCCTTCACGGAAACCATTCCTGCAAGGAAGAATTTTTCATTAATCTACTGTGTAACAATAATACAATTAGGCAGGGGTGGCTCCAAAACTTTATTGGGGGCTCAGGAAAAGCTATAATGGATGGAAGGAGACTGCATTTACTGAGCAAGTACACCATTTACCAAAGCGTATATTACAGATTAATAAAAATAGTATTAAAAATAGTTTCACTATATAAAGGTAAAAACAATTGTCCATCTCAAAGAATAAGAACTATAATTACATAAAACTACAATATGCAAGCCATCAAAATTGTTATTCGCTATGACCTTATTAAGACAATGATATTCATTCTTCTGACAAATGAACGGATAGGGTAAATGAAAAGTTATAACAGATTGTAATGATGTTGGTAGAATTACCAACAATATGTAAAGTAAAAGGACACTTGACAAAGCTCCTGGAGAGCGAAACATTGCCACAATAAAATATCACATTAGTTGCACTTGTGTCCCTTTACTTTATAAGATTCTTTTGTTCTTGTGGCTGGAAGCAAAAGTATCAATACCTTCAATATACACACTTTGCTGTTTTCAAATTTATAGATATAATTGTACTATTATATGCTCTTGCTATGACTACTGTTTGTCAAATAAGTTTTTGACAGTCACAGGCAGGAAAAACATTTTCATGTGCTGCAGAATTAACTGGCAGCCAGTGATAAACATAAGCTTATATACATAGCTATGAAAGTTTGTTTTGAGCTTAGTAGCAAATGAGCAAGAAAGGCTGGATTTGAGTTACTGAACTGTAAACCTTAAATTAAATGGCTTTTGGAATGGGTTGAACAATATGAGAAAGGGATGGATTTGAGGACAAGTTATGTATGGCCCATGGGATTGTTGCAACATTCCTTCAATCTCATGCTCCTATAACACACGGAGGCACTGTTATATATTTATTGAGCCTATTGACTTACCTGGTAAAGGTGGATATTCATACCTAACAATAACATGATTTACCTCAGAGAGGCCTGGGAAAGAGGACTGAAGCAAATAACATGATTTACCTCAGAGAGGCTTGGGAAAGAGGACTGAAGCCTCCCTTGGCACCACCAATGCAATCAGGGCAATTAACAAAAGCCTTCATGCTGTATACCATATTTAATCTGCATGCATGCTAAGGCACTACCTTTCCACACATTTTTTAATTCAGAATACTGGCCACTACTAAACTTTCATTCATGCCATCATGTGCTCCTTTCTGGTATCTGAGTAATTAATATTTCTAGAAAAGGTTTGACAAACCAATGCCTAAGCTCAGTGGTATTAAAAAGCAGGTAGTTCAACATACCTGAATCTTCTATGCACAACTTTAAGGTGACGCATACGCCCAGTTCCAGTGGTCTTCCTGCGAATAGCCTTGACAGACCAATTATCTGGGAGGAAAAAAAAACATTAACACGTATACCTGTTTTCTTTTATCAAAGAGAAAGCTGTGCTAATGACAAGAACAAAGTGAAATAATGTAATAATGAGAGGTACTACAGACAAATTACACAATTTTAAATTCTCATGAAACCTGACAACTAGTACAAATTTCAGTCCAGCAAAAACACTCCAAAAATTCTGAAAGGTAGAATTTTTTGACATTAAACAGGGAGTAAACCTATGATACTTAAAATTGCCTGTAGACAGAAAATGCTGGTAAATCATGTGCTCCTCCTTTACATATATACCCTTATGTAACAAACTTTTGAAGTACTGGCTTCCATGATACTGGTTAGTAGCTTGGTCAACCTAACAATAGCTGAATTGCCACTTTTATCTCTAAATTTTATTTACAACATTAATGCAATTAACCCTTAAACGGTCCAAACATATACTATATATGTTCACTCGCGTAGCGCCCCAAATTTTTTGAAAAAAAATTTTCTTTTTTTAATAGGAAAAAAGAGCATATGGTACCCAGGCGTCCCCAATTACTAATATGGCGCACAGTGAGTGCGCACACCCATTCACTCATGTCTAGGTGACTCAGGCTTATCATGGCAATGTTGAATGAATGACAAAGAAAACACATATATACGTTTGGGGCGCTACGCACGTGAATGTATATATACGTTTGGACCGTTTAAGGGTTAAGGAATCCTAGCAAGGGAAAATAAACCATGATATCTGTTAATGATTCCGAGGATCATTGGTCCCATAGGCATGTCTCATTAGGTGGATTAAAAGCACTGAACTTTAAAGAGTTGTAGGCGAGTAGAATAAACTACCATGTAACATCTTAAAAGGAACTATTTTGTATAGCTGTAAATATAAATTAACCCTTTGACTGTCGCGGCCGTATATATACGTTTTACGAGGTGCCGTGTTTGACGTATATATACTCATAAATTCTAGCGGCTTCAAATCAAGCAGGAGAAAGCTGGTAGGCCCACATGTGAGAGAATGGGTCTGTGTGGTCAGTGTGCACCATATAAAAAAAATCCTGGAGCACGCAGTGCATAATGAGAAAAAAAAAACTCCGACCGTTTTTTTTAATTAAAATGCCGACTTTGTGGTCTATTTTCGTATAGTATTTATGGTGGTATTCTCGTTTTCTTGGTCTCATTTGATAGAATGGAAAACATATTACAGAAATAGAGGTGTTTTTGATTGATTTTTCTATAAAAAGAACCTAGAAATGGAGCTCAAAGTAGGGGAAATGTTTGATTTTTGCCAATGTTCAAAAGTAAACAAATGATGCCATTGTCCAATAAATGTCCAACTAGCCATTCTAATATGCAGTCATGAATGGGTTGATGTTATTTATACAGTTATTACAGCATTGCAGTAGTCTGCATAATAGTAAGTCTAATATATTTTGTTTGAATAAAAATTCAAAATAGAAAGCAAGAGTAATATCAGAGGGGCCTGGAGACGTGACTGATGAACAAAGAAAACGTTATTTTAGAGCCTGGAATGTCTGCATTGTTCATTCTGGACCTTATTTTGAAATTGTCATATTTTTTAGTTTTCGTGAAATTGGCCAAATTGCAAATTTCTGACCACATTATTAGGTAGTTGAAATCAGTAAATGGGCAGTTTCTTGTACTCAATCGATAGAAAAAATGAAGTTCTAAAGAAATAGCTATGAGTTTGGGCGACTGGAACAATGGAATTAGCCGAAAATAGGGCTCAAAGTGGTTCAAATCGCCGATTTGTAAACAGCGCCGAGGTCGCTAACTTCACGAGAGCATAATTCCGTCAGTTTTCCATCAAATTTCGTTTTTTTGGTGTCATTACAATCGGGAAAAGATTCTGTATCATTTCATAAGAAAAAATAATTTTTTTTTTTAAATTTTGCGACACCAGGAGACACCTCAGGATTGGGGGTTGCGACAGTCAAAGGGTTAAACAGGTAAACAAGTATAGTTACGGACAATAGGTTTATTGTAATGCTCCTCTATTCTGGATAGTATCTAGTATATTGCACCTGTATATACTAAATACATTTTATCACTTGCCACATTTTAATTCACCATTCACATACCTACCCTCATACATATGACAAACTTTTTAAAGATGGTCTTGAGCCAATTATACTGCTCCACATAGTCTTTCAATTCTTATATTCTTGTAGTATGCTTAAATCAAGTCAATGACCTTAAATCACACTGCAAAAAATATTCAGTAGAGGCAGGCAGTTTTTTTTTCAAGTTTGAAAAAGGCAAGGAATTAAATTAGTGCTAGTTCCTAAGATCGTGAGCTTACCAGTGACAAAGGGCTCCCTTGATGGAATCTCACAATGCATGGATTATGTACTGACCTAGAATTTTACAACTCATTGCCCCCATGAGTTCAATCCCTACCCATGGAATGCATGGCTATGTTTTGAGGAATTCGTGGATGAAAAATGATAAAAGAAAAAGTGAAAATGATCGTCTCGCATCTTTAAGGACTTGCTTAAAGCTAAGCTTAAGGAATACAAGAAAAAATAGCCAACCAATTTTACTGATTTTCCAGCAAAACTGTGTACACCAATGCTAACTGAATACAGTTGAAATGACACTATAATGTATATAATTATACAACTCATTTTTACACACTACCTAATTTAATATTTCATCATGATATTTAAAAAATTAAGTCATACCCTGCTTAAAATTTTTTAACATTGTATTAATATTATAATCACAGGGACGCACTAAACCCGTAGGATTATACAGCGCATGTGGGGGGGACAGAAGGTATTCAGGCTCAATTCAGGGAACTGGAACACAGATACAATTCCCTATATCAAGAGCCCCTTGCCAGCATCAAGGAGCCTCCCTTGAGGGGTTTAACATTTTAATGACTTGAATATAACCCCCAGAAAACATTAAGGTTATGCAATTTTAAATTTTGCACCAAAACTAATGATCTAGCAGCTTATGAATAGTAGCAAAATTTACCTGACTTCTCTAAGAATTCAAATACAGTAACTATTTATCTGGTTTCCTTGAGATAATTCCAAAGGCCCTTTTATCAGGGGTAAGTCTATTATATAGAATTTGACCCACAGTGACGCTTTAATACAATACAGCATTGTACTTAATAAAAGCACACACTGAATATAACATATGCCTTTCCTTGATAAAAGCATCTTTGAAATTACCTCAGGTTGGCTTATGTCACCCGAAATGCCTCGGCATGATAGTGGCTGTCTTTGCTCCAATCATATGTAAACACACATTGTAACCTTAGCAAAGAAATAAATATTTTATTTTATTTATATGACTTCCTTGTGAAAGGGGGGAAGGGAAGGATATCTTCAGATGACCCAAAATACTTTTAATTGAATCTTACTTACAGCGTCTCATCTTCTTCCTTGGGTATCCACACTGGGCACATCTTTTCTTTTGGATGTGGTACGATGATCGGCCACAACGACGGCACAAAGTGTGGGTCTTGTTGTGCCGCTTTCCAAAGGATGATGTACCCTTCGTCTGAAAGTTTCAGTAATATATTAATATGAAGGCACTGTATGACTACCCTACAAAAATTGATTCATGAATTAATGCTAAATTATAATACCCAAACTGAAGTAATACATCAATTGCAAAGGCAGCAGTAACAGCCTGGTTGATCAGACCCTGATCCACCATGAGGCCTGGTCTTAGACCAGGCCACGGGGGCACTGACCCCCCAAACCCTCTCCAGGTAAACTCCCCAGGTATGTATCCCATTCCAAAAACCAATGTTTAAAATGAAGAAATACTCTCATGACAAAATTTGCAAAATAGCCCATTTGCATTTAATAAATTTATCTACATGAAGTTCTGAATTATGAATTCTACAATACATTATAACATGACAATAACCACCGTTTCTCTGGAACAATAATTGCTATATACTGTAAATTAATGACTAAGGAATATTATACAAAGAACTGTTAAAATGTACAACCAAAGGGGCATTGCAGTAGGCCTACTGGCCCATGCAAGACAGGTCTACTCACATCCAACCATTATAATACATATGTATCAGTTTAATCTACAATTATTGCAAACCAGTTTTCCCAACATACTGTAATACCTAACCAAAAATTTTTACAATTTAAATTCATTATTACTAGTTGTCTTTATTAGCAAACACATTCACAATAATTCACTGAAAAACTGTCTTAACAGAAGTGTGCAGATAATACAATTCAAAAAACCCTCCAGTGTGTGAGAACCCTTCTCCCCACCTCTAGGACTCAAGTCTGGCAGTTTCCCTGAACCCTTTGATAAGAAAGGAAGTACAGGGATTAGACAGATACTGTGAGGAAGTGAAAAGGTACAAGGGGTAAGAAATGGGAAGAGGGAAGAGGATAAGAAATCTAGAGAGAAAGAGGATAAGAAATGTTACCTTCTGCTCACACTCCAACAACAAGTCAAATCCCAAACACTACTCATCCCCCTCCCCTCCAATTACAGCACTGGTAAGATGACCAGAAGTCCAAATGTAGCTTGAAGTAATTTATTGTGGACCAACTCACCACATTGCAAACAACTGCGAGTCTGTCGAGAGATCGTCAAAAACTGGTTCGTGAATGACTGACCACTTATGGTATTAGATACCAACATGATGGAAAAGGAGAGAGAGGCAATTACACTGAAGTCAGAATGGGGACCAGTCACAAATATTACATTTAATGAATCTCAGCATGGTTTTACAAAGGGGCATTCCTGCTGTACAAATTTACTAACTTTTTTCACTTAGTATTTGAGGTGGTAGCTCATGATGTATGATATTGTGTATATGGACTTCAGTAAGGTTTTTGATAGTTCCATACAGGAGATTGTTAAAGAAAGTAGAAGCACAAGGAATAAAAAAATTTTCCTGGACTGAGGAGTAGTTGACCAATAGGCAACCGAGTCTGCACAAATGGGGAAAAATCAAAATGGGGACACATTATAAGTGGTGTTCCAAAGGCGTTAATGTGGGGTTGTTCACAATATACATAACCGACAAAGGTGGGGGAATAAAGAGAGGCTTAAGAAAATTTGTCAATGACCCTAAAACAGGCCGTCGGATAAATTCCAACGAGGACACTACAGCGCTACAGTTAGATCTGGATAGATTAATGCAATGGCTCAAGAAGTGGTAGATACATTTTAATGTAGGCAAATGTAAGGCTCTAAGCCGGGGAAAGAAAAATAATCATGGCACTTATAAACTAAATAATATAGATCTTAATAACTCTGAGTATGAAAAAAATTTAGAGCTGTGGTTAGCAGTAAACTAAAGCCAAGACAACAGTGCATAAGTGTTCACAATAAAGCTAATAGAATTCATGGCTTAATATCAAGAAGTATAAATAATATAAGTCCTAGGTCATACAGTGGTACCTCAAGTTTCAAACAGCTCCCAACTCGAACAATTATGTAAGTGTATTTTTGCAAGTGCTTTTGTAAGTGTATTTTTGGGGGGTCTGAAACAGGCTAATCTAATTTACATTATTCCTTATGGGAACAAATTCGTTTGGTATCGGCATTCAAACAGCCTTCTGGAACGAATTAAGTTCATAACTCAAGGTACCACTGTACTTCAACTTTATATGTATATCATTGGTAAGGCCTCATTTAGATTTCACTGCTCAGTTCTGGTCTCCATATTACAGAATGGACATAAATGTGCTAGAAAAGAGAGAGAAAGACGATGAAGTTTATCCCATGCATCAGAAATCTTCCCTATAAGGATAAACTATGAGCACTGAATCTGCATCCTTTGGAAATGCATAAAATTAGATGGGACATGATTAAGTGTATAAATGGAAGACATGAAAAAATAACGAAATATAAATAGCTTACTGAAAATATCTAACCAAAATAAAACTTGCAAAAATGGGTTCAGGTTAGAACATTTTTGAAAGGATATAGCAAAGCACTTGTTTGGTAAAAAGAATTGCAGAAGAGCGGAACAAAGTCCAGGGTATCATCACTGAAGTGAGAAGCTTGTGTAGTTTTAAAAGTAGGTTAGATAAGTACGAGTGGATGTGGGAGGGCAAGAGTTGAACCTGCCTAGCATGGGCTAGTAGGCCTCCTGCAGTTCTCCTTTTTTGTGTTCTTACATCACCAGAGGGAAAGAAAGGCAATGAAGTTCGATTCAAGTGGCGTCCAATCCCTTGGATCAAAAGCCCCTCGCCAAGATCAAGGAAATTTCCTCTGGAGGTCGTTTATTGGAAGTGGATGACTGGTTAATGGGGCTAAATGTCTACTGAATACACCGAGGTTATTAATGTTATATCAAACTTTACCACCACCAGAAAATAAAAAAAAATCCCTAAAATAGGGATTAACGTAAGTTCTCAGCATATTTACTAAGATATACCTATCTTCACATATACCTTACTTACGCTATGAAATATACCTATCTTTATATACATAAATATATCTTCTGCTAGATGAGTGACCTTTTTTTTTATCTAGGCACACCCCTCCCCCCTCCCCAATTAAGAGTTAAGCCCTTTAAAATTACCGAATACTATCAATACCATTAAGACCTTAATATAGTGAAGACTGTTCATAAAGTTAATAAAAGTGGCGAGCATCAGCCTCGCCATGTGACAACACACACCACCCAAACAATTCCTTTCAGTCTTCCTTATTCTCCCCCCAAAACCCTCATTTATCTACCTTAACGGAGACAGCGACATGGTTGCTATTGCCTACCGAGGCAAGGTTGGGTCAGGAGTGCCTGTAAGAGGCATCAATGATAATATAAGAGGAGGGAGAGAGGATGTTAGACTCACCATGTCGCGGCTCACCTGCAGAAGGATGCTACCCACAATGCTCACCCGTGACGTCACAACATGGCCGCCGCCGCCACCACTACCACACCTCCATTTTAAATCCCCTCAGGGAAGGTTCCTTGATGTTGGTGAGGAGCTTTTGATTTAGGGAATTGAATCTGTGCTACAGTTCCCCAAATTAAGCCTGGATGCCTTCCACATTCCCCCAAGGCGCTGTATAATCCTACGGGTTTAGTGCTTCCCCCTTGATTATAATAATAATAATAATAATAATAATACCTTTTAAATACAAATACATATTTATTTGCTGTTATGTTGTATTTAATAATATATATATATATATAATATATATATATATATATAATATATATATATATATATATATATATATATATATATATATATATATATATATATATATATATATATATATATATATATATATATATATATAGTTAATATTGAATTCAGGTTCTGGTCTGAGTTGGTCAATAATTTATTCTTTAAGATCTCCAACATTGTGTTTTAGAGCTGTTAAGGGCCACCAAGGACTCCAGTCGAAATAAGTCACTTTGTCTGATTTTTATAGGGGTTATTTTAGGTAATTTATACTATGTATGATAATTGTACCTATGTGTACCTTTGCCTAAATAAACTTAATTACTTACACCTTATAAACACAAACATTAAATATAAATCAGGAACGTGCACGGTAAGCTGTCCAATATACAAAAACAGTTAGAAACAGAAATACAAATAGCTAGAGCTTCATTTAATGAGGTTATTAATAGAATATTCATGAGGTTGCTAGTAGAATTGCAGTAAATCAACCATTCAAATCATTATGAAGCTGTGTGTAGTCTGTGGTCAGTCAAACAAACGGGCTTCCACATGGGTAAATTGTCATTTTTGTGGAAATTGGTGTCACGCCCCTTGTGCAGATATCCAAGAACTAGCTACAAGCAGTGTTAAAACAGGGAAGTGTTTTTGGGTATGCCCAAATGAGATAAATCTGTGGACTAAAATCACAAGGGTATTAAAAGAGGACAACATCAAAGCTGCTTTCATAGAAAACCTGGAAGCTTTCTACAACAGATGGGAACATAAAAAGTCTGGGCTGAATGGTACTGCCCTTGATACTGGCCATGTAGTCAGAAACTGTAAGGCTGGAGATGAAGTCCTGGTAGTCAGTAAATGTGGGGCTGATAGTGCTGTCCTGGAGACAGTAATGGTGAAGCTGGAGGTGCTGTCCTGGGAGACAGTAATGGTGAAGCTGGAGGTGCTGTCCTGGGAGACAGTAATGGTGAAGCTGGAGATGCTGTCCTGGGAGACAGTAATGGTGAAGCTGGAGATTTTGTCCAGGTAGTCGGGAATTATACGCAGGAAGGAATACATATAAATGACCTCATAGGGGACAGGAGCCACAGTAGGGAAACAAGTGTAGTCAAAGATAAGATAAAACCAATATCGCAAACTAGAAATACCGCAGGAAATAGCAAACAAGAGGACTCCACTAGCAATAGTGAGGATATATTACCAAAAACAACTGGTGGGAGCTCCATTGTTGGTGCTAGGGAGGATAGAAGTAAGACAGGGAAACATGCACCAACAGGGAATACAGTCACAGAAACCCAAGGCAAACGGAAACCAAGCCTGTGCACATACTATGCACTTGGTATCTGCTGGCATGGGAAATCTGGAAAAACAGATGGGACGTGCAACTATGACCACCCTAGAAAATGCCATGCCCATATGACAACAGGAAAATGCAAACTCCCTTCCTGTAAGCTTTTTCACCCTGAACTGTGTACCTCTTCAGTACAGAAAGACTGTGCTATAACTTAATGCCAGGCATACCATCTAAAGGGGACAAAAAGATACAAAGCATCCAGGCCATGGGAAAACCTGGGTAGCCACAGCCACTCAAGAGGGAGAGGTTTTTTAGTGCCGGGAAGGGAAAAAAAACTGACAGGAAATGGCAGAAATCGTAAAACCAAATCCAGTCATTCCTGGAGTGGAACCACAGTCGATGGCCTCCACTCCAAACCAACAGATACAGATACTAATGCCGGAAAAAAATCCCCCCCCCCAGTACCAACAATACCACCAGTCCGATAACATTCTTCTTTGCAAATATACAAGGTCTAAAGCCAGCAACAAACAAAAAAATACCTTTCAATCCGTGGACTGCTTGCAGAGGCAAAGGCAAAGTTCGCGGCTTTCACTGAGACCCACATAAAGGATCACTTGGACAGCGAAATATGGATCCCAGGTTACAACCTATACAGATGTGACAGAGTGAACAGGCAAAAGGGGGGGGGTTGGCCTGTACATTGCAAGTCACTTGTTTGTACGAACTGCTTAATGCCTCAAATGATGTAGTGGAAGTTTTAGCAGTAAAGGTCGAGAACCAAAACCTAGTCATTGGGGTATTTCTAGAAGCCTCCGGATGCAACATCCCAGCAATTCCAGGAACAGCTGTTAAAAATGACCACGGTCTGGAAAATCTTCCAGCTCCTGCACCCAACATCCTTGCTCCTGGGGATTTCAACTTAAGGCACCTAAAATGGAGGAATATAGCAAATAAATATTGTTGCAGTAATAACACAGGAGGCAGCTCTGATGAAAACTCACACTCACACGACTTAAAATCTCTGCACAAAATTCAATTTAAACCAGCAAATAAAGAGCCTACTAGACGGAGAATACACTAGACCTCATCTTCACTAACAATGAGATCTGATAAGAAAGTCACCTTATCAAAAACAAAATACTCAGATCACAACATAAAATTGAGGTTCAGACATGTATGCGTGGAGCCCCAGACCGACATAATGAACTAGTCACGAGGAGCATTTACCAAATTCAACCCTTTAATAACAAAAACATAAAGTGGGACCAAGTAACCAAGTCCTAACCGATATAACTGGGAAGATATAAATAAGCAACAAAGACCCCAACTTATGCCTAGAACAGATTAACTCGGTGGCACTCGATGTATGCACAAGGCTTATTCCTCTAAGAAAAAGGAGGAGTAGATGTAAAATAGAAAGAAACAGGCGCTCCCTTTACAGGCGACGGAAAAGAATAACAGAGCGGCTAAAAGAGGTCAATATATCTGAAATGCGTAGGGAGACACTGGTCAGAGAAAAAAGCAAGCATCGAACTTAAGCTAAAAGAATCCTTTAGGAGTCAGGAATCGCGGGAAGAACTAAAAGCCATAAATGAAATCTAAAGAAACCCAAAGTATTTCTTCTCCTATGCCAAATCAAAATCGAGAACAACGTCCAGTATTGGGCCCTTACTTAAACAAGATGGGTCCTACACAGATGACAGCAAGGAAATGAGTGAGCTACTCAAGTCCCAATATGACTCAGTTTTTAGCAAGCAGCTAACCAGACTGAGAGTCGAAGATCAAAATGAATTTTTTATGAGAGAGCCACAAAATTTGATTAACACAAGCCTATCCGATGTTATCCTGACGCCAAATGACTTCGAACAGGCGATAAATGACATGCCCAGCACTCTGCCCCAGGGCCAGACTCATGGAACTCCGTGTTCATCAAGAACTGCAAGAAGCCCCTATCACGAGCCTTTTCCATCCTATGGAGAGGGAGCATGGACACGAGGGTCGTCCCACAGTTACTAAAAACAACAGACATAGCCCCACTCCACAAAGGGGGCAGTAAAGCAACAGCAAAGAACTACAGACCAATAGCACTAACATCCCATATCATAAAATCTTTGAAAGGGTCCTAAGAAGCAAGATCACCACCCATCTAGAAACCCATAAATTACACAACCCAGGGCAACATGGCTTTAGAACAGGTCGCTCCTGTCTGTCTCAACTGTTGGATCACTACGACAAGGTCCTAAATGCACTAGAAGACAAAAAGAATGCAGATGTAATATATACAGACTTTGCAAAAGCCTTCGACAAGTGTGACCATGGCGTAATAGCGCACAAAATGCGTGCTAAAGGAATAACAGGAAAAGTCGGTCGATGGATCTATAATTTCCTCACTAACAGAACACAGAGAGTAGTCGTCAACAGAGTAAAGTCCGAGGCAGCTACGGTGAAAAGCTCTGTTCCACAAGGCACAATACTCGCTCCCATCTTGTTCCTCATCCTCATATCCGACATAGACAAGGATGTCAGCCACAGCACCGTGTCTCCTTTGCAGATGACACCCGAATCTGCATGACAGTGTCTTCCATTGCAGACACTGCAAGGCTCCAGGCGGACATCAACCAAATCTTTCAGTGGGCTGCAGAAATCAATATGAAGTTCAACGATGAGAAATTTCAATTACTCAGATATGGTAAACATGAGGAAATTAAATCCTCATCAGAGTACAAAACAAATTCTGGCCACAAAATAGAGCGAAACACCAACGTCAAAGACCTGGGAGTGATCATGTCGGAGGATCTCACCTTCAAGGACCATAACATTGTATCAATCGCATCTGCTAGAAAAATGACAGGATGGATAATGAGAACCTTCAAAACTAGGGAGGCCAAGCCCATGATGACACTCTTCAGGTCACTTGTTCTATCTAGGCTGGAATATTGCTGCACACTAACAGCACCTTTCAAGGCGGGTGAAATTGCCGACCTAGAAAATGTACAGAGAACTTTCACAGCGCGCATAACGGAGATAAAACACCTCAATTATTGGGTGCGCTTGAAGTTCCTAAACCTGTATTCCCTGGAACGCAGGAGGGAGAGATACATGATTATATACACCTGGAAAATCCTAGAGGGACTAGTACCAAACTTGCACACGAAAATCACTCACTACGAAAGCAAAAGACTCGGCAGACGATGCACCATCCCCCCAATGAAAAGCAGGGGTGTCACTAGCACGTTAAGAGACCATACAATAAGTGTCAGGGGCCCGAGACTGTTCAACTGCCTCCCAGCATACATAAGGGGGATTACCAACAGACCCCTGGCAGTCTTCAAGCTGGCACTGGACAAGCACCTAAAGTCGGTTCCTGACCAGCCGGGCTGTGGCTCGTACGTTGGTTTGCGTGCAGCCAGCAGCAACAGCCTGGTTGACCAGGCTCTGATCCACCAGGAGGCCTGGTCACAGACCGGGCCGCGGGGGCGTTGACCCCCGGAACTCTCTCCAGGTAAAC